CAAAAATGCTAACAACAACTGCATTTGGATAGATATACTCTTAAGGACTGTTTTTCTGAATCTCCCAATTTTCTGGAATAAATATATTTTACTACTAAAATAAAAAATCATTTGGAATGTTTTGGAAACTGAGGCATGAATGCCTAACTCTATCTAGAGAAGTTAGAGCGAACCTTATGAGGAAGTGATGTGAGCTGACACTGTAACAAATAGCATTTGCCGAAAGAAAGGGGTAATTCCAGGTCACGTTTACTTCCTTTGTTAGGTTTGGGCATATTAACTGCCATTAGCTTTGGTTTCCCCATTTGTAAACTCAGAGTATTACCTACCTCACAGAGTTTTCACTGGAATTTTAAATTATTACTATTATTATCACTTATGTTATTGTTATGTCAAAGGCAAAGGGTCGTGAAAGTGTGTATCTGGCTCAGAGAGTTTTGAATTTTTTTTTTTTTTTTGAGATAAAGCTTCGCTCTGTCGCCCAGGCTGGAGTGCAGTGGCACCAACCTCCACCTCCCGGGTTCAAGCGATTCTCCTGCCTCAGCCTCCTGAGTAGCTGGGATTACAGGTATGTGCTGCCACGTCCAGCTAATTTTGTATTTTTAGTAGACACAGGGTTTCACCATGTTGGTCAGGCTGGTCTCAAATTCCTGACCTCAGGTGATCCGCCCGCCTCAGCCTCCGAAAGTGCTGGGATTCCAGGCGTCGCGAGCCACCGCGCCCGGCCGAGTTTTTAGTATTTTGTGTGTCTGAAGCAGGGGACGCGTGGGAAGGATGGGCCTGGAAAGCTAGGCAGTAGCTAGGTCATAAAGGACCTTGGAAGTTGTATAAGAGATGGAGCTTCAGTAAGCTTGAAGCCCAACCTGTTTGGGAAAGCTGGATTCAGAGGTCACCTGAAACTATTCTTGGATTCCACCTCAGCCCACTGTGGTCCCTTAGAAATGTGCTTGGACTGATTCATACTGTCTCCAATACCAAGCTGAAAAGAGGCATGAAGGTAAATATCTCCTCCCCTGAGAAAGTTGATGCGCAGTTTGCACCATCAGGCTGTCACGGAGACAGGACAGCTACGCACTTCTCAGAACAATCGGGAGAGGCCATTCTGAACACTGCCAAGTCCTATGTTTTGTTCTGCAGGGTGAAGGAACTGGTGCCTTTTGCCTGTGGCGTTGGCAGCATCTTTTCACCTCCGCCCTTTTGATATCATGTGACATGCCAAGTAACTGGTTTTTTCACCTATAGGCCAGTGGTTCTTCCGTCTTTTTGAGACACAGACCTTTTTGAGAGTGTAATGAAAGCTACAAGTCCTCTCCTGAGAATAGATATACTTATGTCATTTGTCTACACCACTTTAGAGAGTTCCTTTGTCCATATGTCTGCTAAATATCTGCTGACCATAGGTTAAGGACCTCTCTTGCAGAAACGATGCATCATTGAAGGGTTTTAAGAAACGAAGTAGCCAATCACTGCAGTAGTGTGGTAGAAGATGGATTTGGAAGCTGATACTAAAGGCAAGAATACCATCCATGAGGACATAGCAAAAGTCTGAAGGTCTAATTGACAAGGGCCTGAACTAAAGCAGCAAACGTGGAAAAAGAGAGGAGGTGACAACTGGAGAGAAAGTTTACACAGGTCTTTGTGATGGAGTGTGTGGAGGGTGGGAGAAGAGAGCCTGAGGGAGAGGATGGGGTTCAGGAATCCTCCTTTGTCTTCACTCACCATGATTGAAGTTGTGGACTGCCAGTGGAGTAAGCTCTAAGCTATATAACGTTTAGGTCTCTACCATGCCATCTCCCCACAAGTACAGCAACCACAAATTTCTAATCTGGTAAATGTGTATGATCAATAATGTTAAACAATGAAAATAACCACAGAATAAATTTATTAAAAGTTCTGGTCCTCTGAAAGTACCCTCTGTAATAAATCTCCTGTGTCAACTTTTTTTTTTTTTTTTTTAAAGCAAGACTAGGAACAATTCCTCAGAAAGTATCATTTTATATTACAACTGAAATCTATTCTTTTCATAATGTTAGTTGAAGTAGCCACCTACAAACAATCAATTTTAGCAGAACATAGAGTACTTCTATAAAGATTTATCACCAATATAGATTTCCTTTTTTAACTTAATGACTCACCAGCAAAAACCTTTAAAATTGGAAGCCTCTGTGCTTTGTGAGAATGCCAAAGTTAGTCACTGATTTATTCCCCTAAGTGTAATTCAAAAGAACCTGCTGTGTAAATCTGAATACTGTAAACCATGCACCATGAATCTTTTAAAAGCTAGTTTTCCTATTAATGGTGCCTAAATGCTTAAGAGTAGAATCACAAATTGGGAGGGGGAAGGGAGCCCTCTGGGACCTTTTCTGTGGGAAACTTTTGTGCCACAATTTCTACTGAACCTGCATTTGGAGGATCAGCAGCAGATTTAGCAGGAGCGGAGGCAGAGAACTGGGTCCTTGGGCAGACAGACCTAACTTTCCAACCACAATAAAGACTGATGTCTTTAGGTTGGATAAATACTCCTGAAATTATTGAGTTTATCACAGAAAAGGGACCCTGAAAAGAAAAGTCATTCTTGAGTTAAAGCTACAACTATGACTTGTAATAAGTGTTCTAAAGGAAATGTGCAGAGTACTATGATCACGTCTTTTTTCCTGTGAAAATGTCTACAATGGGATTGACTTGTTCTAGGAGTGTTAGAGGAGTTTTCTTTTTTTTTTTTCCAGGCAGGGTCTGTCTCTGGCACCCAGGCTGGAGTGCAGTGATGTGATTTCGGCTCACTGCAGCCTCCTACTCCTGGGCTCAATCGATCCTCCCACCTCAGCCTCCTGAGTAGCTGGGATTACCAGTGCATGCCACCATGCCCAGCTAGTTTTGTATGTTTTGTAGAGACAGGGTCTTGCCGTGTTGCCCAGGCTGGTCTTGAACTCCACTCAAGAGATCCTCCTGCCTTGGCCTCCCAAAGTGCTGGGATTACAGGTGTGAGCCACTGTGCCCAACTGGAGGAGTTTTCTTGAAGTGACTCTTTCCCTTATCTAATATTGCACAACAAACTACCCCAAAACATAATAGCACAAAGTAACAAGCCTAAAGAAGACAAAAGAGATATAGAGAGGAACCACTTTTTTTGCACACAAATTTGTAATTTGGGCTGGGCTCAGATGGTCACTTTCTCTGGTCTTGTCAATGGTCACTCATGAGACTGCATCCAGCTGGCACTTAGGCTAGCCCACAGCTGGGATTCTCGCATGTAATCTTTCCATTTGGTCTCTCCAGCAGGATAATCAGACTTTTTGTATGTTGGCTCAAGCCTTCCAAGAGCACAGAAGCAGAAGCTGCCAGTCTTTCCTAAGGCTTAGGCTTGGAACTGACACAGCATCATATCTGCTGAATTCCAGTGGTTAAAGCAAGTCCACCCAGAGTCCAGGAGAGGGGACTGTCACACAAGGGCATGAATACTGGAAGATGATATTCATCTGGGGCCACCTTGTAACAGGCTATTAGAGTGACCTTAGGCAGCAACCTGGAAGATGAGTAAGAGTTAACTGAGCAAAGAGGGAGGAAGAATGTTCCAGGCAGGGCAGTAGTATATGCAAAGCAGTTATGGCAGAGGATCCCCAGGCGTTTCTAAGTGACTGAAAGAAAGCCACGTTCGCTGGAGCACAGAGATCAAGGGAACAGTGGGTACAGGCAGGAAGGGGCCAGACCATGTGGTGCCACTGCATTCTTTAGGAAACTTCCAGATGCAAGTGGTAGGATCCCAATGCAAACCGACTCAAGCAAAAATATAAACAAACCAAAAAAAGATAAACAAAAATAAAACGAGAAACAGAATGTATACATTTATGTTCCTGGAAAGTCCAGGGCCCAGTGGTTTGACTTCAAGTATGGCTGTATCCAGGGCTTCAAATGACATCACCAGGAATTTGTTTTCCTCCATCTCTCTCTCTATTTTTAGATGGAGTCTCACTCTGTCGCCCAGGCTGGAGTGCAGTGGCGGCACGATCTCAGCTCGCTGCAACCTCTGCCTCCCAGGTTCAAGAGATTCTCCTGCCTCAGCCTTCGGAATAGCTGGGATTACAGGACCCCACCACCACACCCAGCTAATTTTTGTAGGTTTTGTTTGTTTGTTTTTGAGACAGATTCTCGTTCTGCTGCCAGGCTGGAGTGCAGTGGCATGATCTCAGCTCACTGCAATCTCTGCCTCCTGGGTTCAAGTGATTCTCGTGCCTCAGCCTCCCAAGCAGCTGGGACTATACAGGCGCCTGCCACCACGCCCAGCTAATTTTTGTATTTTTGGTAGAGATGGAGTTTCACCATGTTGGCCAAGATGGTCTCAATCTCCTGACCTCGTGATCTGCCCGCCCGGGCCTCCCAAAGTGCTGGGATTACAGGCATGAGCCACTGCGCCCAGCTAATTTTTGTATTTTTTAGTAGAAACAGGGTTTCGCCATGTTGACCAGGCTAGTCTCGAACTCCTGACCTCAGGTGATCCACCCGCCTCGGCCTCCCAAAGTGCTGGGATTACAGGTGTGAGCCACTGCGCCCAGCCTCTTTCATATTTTGAAATTTCTTTTTGATACAGGGTCTCATTCTGTTGCCCAGGCTGGAGTAGAGTGGCAAGATCACTGCAGCCTCTAACTCCTGGGCTCAAATGATCACCTCAGCCTCTCAAATAATTGGGACTACAGGTCATGCCACCTGTAGTGCATCCTCTCCCTCAGGCTCTCTTCTCCCACCCTCCACACACTCCAACACAAAGACCTGGTTTCAACTCCTGAGCTCAAACAATCCTCCCACTTTGGCTTCCCAAAGCGCTGGGATTACAGTCTTTGAACCACCACACCTGGCAGTATCACCTTTCTAAAATCCTTTAGTGATTCCCCGTTGTCTACAGGAACCCTTCTTCTCCCATGGAGTCCATCACCATCCAGCCCTTGTCTACCTTCCCACCTTTGTCTCCCACCCTTCTTCCCCTCACTTCCTCGCCCCAGTCATACCTTGAAGGCTCTGTGCTCTTTCCAGCTTCTAGGCCTTTTAATATACTGCTTCCTTGTCCTGGCATGCCCTTCTCCTTCAGTTTTCCTTTTATCAGTACAGCACAGTAATTGGGTCACACCTTCACTCAAATCCTGACTCTTCTGTTTGCTAGCCAGGATGTTGGGCAAGTTATTTAACCTCTTGAGCTTCATTTTCCTCTCCTGGAAAACGGAGATAATAGCAACCACAGCCTTTGAGACCTAGTGTAAAAACTATTTTGTTTTTGAGACAGGGTCTCACTCTGTTGCCCAGGCTGGAGTGCCGTGGCACCATTGCAGCTCACTGCAGCCTCACTCTCCCCAGGCTCAGGTGATCCTCCCATCTCAGTCTCCCGAGTAGCTGGGACTACAGGCATGTACCACCACACCTGGCTAATTTTTGTACTTTCTTTTCAGAGACTGACTTTTGCCATGTTGCCTAGGGTGATCTTGAACTCCTAGGCTCAAGAGATCCTCCCGCCTTGGCCTCCCAAACTGCTGGGATCCAGGCATGAGCCACCACGCCCTGCCTAGTGTAAAGACTGAATGAGAAAGCAAATGTAAAACCCTTAGTGAAATGCCTGGCACAGAGCAAAGGCCCACTTAAGGCCAGCTATTGCTGCACTCAAAATTCAAGTGTCATGTTAAGTCATTGCTCTTTTGACTTCTATGGTTGGCTGAATGATGGCTCCCCAAAGGTGTTCACATCCTGGTCCCCGGAGCCTGTTTGTATGTTATTTTACATGGCAAAAGGACTTTGCAGATGTGATTAAGAATCTTAAGATAGGCGAGTACCCTGGATTATCAAGGTGGGTCTGATGTAATCCCAAGGGGTCCTTCTAAAAGGAAGGTAGGAGGTGAAAGAGAGGAGGAGGTGATGTGATGATGGAAGCAGAGGTGGGCGTGATGCAGCCACGTGCCAAAGAATGCCAGCCACTTCTAGAAGCCGGGAGCAAGGATTCTCCTCCGGAGCCTTCAGGAGGAACTGGCTCTGTCAGTGCCTTGATTTTAGCCCTTAAGACTCATTTCTAACTTCTGACCTCCAGAACTGTTAAGAGAATAAATTTGTGTGGAATGAAGCCACAAAATTTGTGGTAATTTTTTATAGCAGTAATAAAAATGAATATAACTTCCTAGAGATGGGTTTACATGCAGATAGATAATTTTTCATCCATTTTTCTCACCCAGTAGGTATTTTTTTAATTTTTAATTTATTTATTATTTTCTTTTTTAGTACAGAATCATCTGCTCTAAAAGTAAAAAAAAAAAAAATTTAGGCTGGGCACGGTGGCTCACGCCTGTAATCCCAGCACTTTGGGAGGCCAAAGCAGGCGGATCACGGGGTCAAGAGATCGAGACCACCCTGGCTAACACGGTGAAATCCCGTCTCTAGTAAAAATACAAAAAATTAGCCGGGCGTGGTGGCGGGCACCTGTAATCCCAGCTACTCAGGAGGCTGAGGCAGGAGAATGGAGTGAACCTGGGAGGTGGAGCTTGCAGTGAGCCGAGATCACGCCACTGCACTCCAGCCTGAGCGACAGAGCGAGACTCCGTCTCAAAAAATAATAATAATAACAAAAAATAACATTTTTTTAAAAGAAATTTTTTTTTTTTGAGGCAGGGTCTCACTCTGTCACCCAGGCTGGAGTGCATTGGCACAATCACAGCTCACTACACCCAGTGAACTGCCAAGAGCTGCTGCTTCTTACTAATATTTGAAACCATCTTGACCTCTTGGGCTCAAGGGATCTTTCTGCCTTAGCCTCCTAAGCAGCTGGGACTACAGGCATGTGCCACCATGCCTGGCTAATTTTTGTGTGTTTTGTAGAGACAGGGTCTAGCCATGTTCCTCAGGCTGGTCTTGAACTCCAGGGCTCAAATGATCCTCCCACCTCAGCTTCCCAAAGTTCGGGGATTACAGATGTGAGCTACCACGCCCAGCCAGGCTGTGTGTTAAGAGCTGCTGCTCTTTTTTGTTTTTTTAACTCACCTCCTTTTTTTTTTTTTTTTCTGAGACAGGTTCTCCTTCTAGACCCCAGGCTGGAGTGCAGTGGCATGATCTTGGCTCACTGCAACCTCTGCCTCCCAGGTTCAAGCAATCCTCCTGTCTCAGCCTCCTGAATAGCTGAGACTACAGGCACGTGCCCATGCCTGGCTAATTTTTGTAATTTTTTGTAGAGACAGGGTCTCGCTATGGTACCCAGGCTGGTCTTGAATTCCTGAGCTCAATCGATCCCCCTACCTTGGCCTCCCAAAGCACTGGGATTATAGGTGTAAGCTACCATGCCCCACCAAGAGCTATTGCTTTTTATTAATATTTGAAACCACCTCCTATTTCCACCTCCACATACCTAGCACAATGCCTGGCACCTTCTCAAACTCCAATAAATATTTGATGAAGGAAAGTTTATGATCTCAAGTGTGATTTCTGTTTGGATTCGGTTCATGTAAAAATGGAGGAACCAGCTGTGAATTCTCAAATAAGTTTCAGTCTGTGGCAAGCACAGGTCTGGGAGATGCATTGAAAACATGTCTGGAGATTATTGTAAAAAAAAAAAAAAAAAAAAAAAAAGAGAGAGAGAGAGAGAGTGAGAAGTGACTATAACTGAAAGAGTACCTGGTCCTGGAATCTTTTATATGATGAAAATTTTATGGGGTTCTAGTCTCTGCTTCTTGAAGATACAATGGAACTAGAAAAGATCCAGAGGACACCAAAAATGATTAAGGGCAGAAGGAATTATGTACACTAATAAAAATAAAAAAGATGCCATTGTAAAAAAAAAAGTTCATCTTAAACTCACAAAGAATAGCATAATTTTCTCAAATCCTGAAAAAAATCGAAATAGGCAACATTCCTTGAAGCCTAACTGTCCTTCCAACCAAAAAAAAAGAAGTAGCTCTACGTATAGCATGTGCTAAAATATAGAATCCACTACTCCAAGAGGTGGTGGCTACAGAAAGTAAACACTACAAAACAGGGCTGGGTTCAGGGTCAAACCAGCCAGGCAGTTGCCTCAGGTGCCTCACATAGGCACAAATCATTTGCAAATAAATTACATAATGTGGTGTTTGTTAACTCACGTTTCCACATATAGCTTCTTATAGTTTACATCAGTAAAATTTCCCTGGCACTGTTGAAACAAACGTGCCTGTGAGTAGAATTTAAAGAAAAGAGGCCAGGCACAGTGGCTCATGCCTGTAATCTCAGCACTTTGGAAGGCCAAGGTGGGTGGATCACCTGAGGTCAGGAGTTCAAGACCAGCCTGGCCAACATGGTGAAACCCAGTCTCTACTAAAAATACAAAAATTAGCTGGGTGTGGTGGTGGGTGCCTGTAATCCCAGCTATTCAGGAGGCTGAGGCAGAACTGTTTGAACTCAGGAGGCAAAGCTGAGATCGCACCATTGTACTCCAGCCTAGGCAACAAGAGCGAACTCCGTCTCAAAAAAACAAACAAAAAAAAGAATTTAAAGAAAAGAAAAACAAAAATCTCATCAAGTGAATTCATCTGCTTTGGAATATTTTTGAATTGTACATATAAGCAACCTCATCAACTAAACCTCTGGATTGAACAGTGAATGGATGGCCTTGGTGCTGTTTACCAGAAGCAGCAAGTGATTTATTTTCTTAACTGTATTTTAATCTCTTTAGTACATCTTACAAGAAGTTATCTTGTTCCAAACAAAATCACAAAAGGAAACTAGAAAGACAACAAGAACCACAGAGAAATGGGAATTATTGTGCTAGTTTTTTTTTTTTTTTCCAGATCATTAAACTCTTCATTGGCTAGTGGAAGTAAGAGAGCAAATTAATCTTAAGTAAATAATTGTATCGATAATATGTCATTTAAAACACTTGCATTTAGAAATGTTGAACAACTACTTAAGATTCTTTAAATATTATTATTTTGAGGGGCTCCCATTCTGGGGAGCTGAGTTTCTCAATTATATCTTAATTGCTTAGGAAAGAGTTGTGAAAGTTCACACCAAGTTATAAATGGCAATTTAGACTTTAGTTTTAAGATAGCTTGGGATAATAATCCTTGAGCAAACCAACCCACCAGGTATGAATAAAGGAGCTAGAGGGTATGAAAGTTCTTTAAAACTCGTCATTGCTGTGCTAATATACTATGGGCCCGTGCCTGCTCCAGCCCTCCTGCCCCTGCTGTGTTGATTATGATATTACTTGGCTGTCCAGGTCTAGAAACAGAAAAACTGTGTCCTGCTGTATTAAAATGACCCTTCCCACTGGCCAGTTGGGAAATGGTCCCTAGAGCTGGAATGCCTGGTATGTGAGCCACGCAGCTCCCATCGTGCCTGATTCTCCAGGAGGGCGCATCTTTCATACCAGGTGTTCTGCAGCCCTGAGATGCAAGGACTAGAGCCAAGCCTTGAATTTTGGCTAACAGGCTGTCAAAACCAGCTCCACCGACCCTTGCACTGGGTTCTGAGTCTCAGCAGACCCCTTCCCCTTAAACTGACCCTATTTCTAATCATCTCTCTTATGCATTAGGTCCTCCTATTTCAATACCTTGTGAAGCCCCAAAGAAAGCAGAGAAACAGGATTCCTGGCTCCAAGTTGTTTCCTTCATCCTCCAGATGTAGAGGCTTGCATTATTGACTTCAGTCATCCTGCTCATCTTTTCAGATTGCTCTACCCCGTGCCTGCCAGACCCTTGCTCTTACCCCCCACTCCCCTCCCCAGCCCGTGAGGATTTCCAACATAGTACTCACCCAGGGTTTTGCTTTTTACTATAAATTTTATATTATATATAAACAGTATATATATGCACATACTACTTTTAGTATATTTTATATTACCATACACACATGTATCTGTAACCTCAAAAATTGCACTATGGGTTATATTATGATTATGGGTTAAACTACTTTTTTGACATAGTTTAAATGAAACAGCAATTACCTCTCATACATTAACCCATAGTGCAATTTTCAAAAGACAAACCATGTGGTGGAAATGTGAAATGGTTCAGTCACTTGGGAAAACAGTTTGGTAGTTCCTCACGAGGTTAAACACAGCGTTAACATAACCAAGCAATTTCATTCCTAGGTATATGTTCAAAAGAAACAAGAACACACGTCCACACAAAAACTTGTACACAAATGTTCACAGCAGCATTATTCACAATAGCCAAAAACGTAAATATCCCAAATGTTCATTAATTGATCAATGGACAAACAAAATGTGGTATATTCCTACAATGGAATGTAATATCCATACAATATAATGTACAGCCATCCAGTGGAATCCATACATCCATACAGTGGAATGTTATGTAAAAAAGAATAAAATGCTGATACATGCTATAACATCGTTGAACTTTGAAAACATTATGCTAAGTGAACAAAACCAGCCACAAAAAAACACCTATTAGCTGGGCAGAGTGGCTGTGCACCTGTAATCCCTGCAACTTGGAAGGCCAAGGCAGAAAGATCCCTTGAGTCCAGGAATTTGAGACCAGCCTGGGCAACACAGGGAAACCTGCATCTCTAAAACAAACAAACAAACTTTTTAAAACCCTGCATACTGTATGATTCAACTTATATGAAATTTCCAGGAAAAAATATATAGAAACAGAGTTTCATCATTGTCTGAGGGGTGGGAGTGATGGATGAGAAGTGACTGTTTCTTTTGGGGGTGATGAAAATGTTCTAAAATTAGATTGTGGGGATGGTTGCACACCTCTGTGAATATACTAAAAACATCTGAGTTGCACAGTTTAAATGAATAAATTATATAGTATGTGAATTATATTTCAACAAAGCTATTTAATAAAAAGATGTTTTGTTTATGCCTAACAAAAATTGTGTTTATATTTTGCTTATACATGGCATTTAAAGAAGATATTTTTTAAAAGTTTGGGCCAGGTAAGGTGGCTCACGCCTGTAATCCCAGCACTTTGGGAGGCTGAGGCGAGTGGATTGCCTGAGGTCAGGAGTTCGAGACCAGCCTGGCCAACATGGTAACACTCCGTTTAGCCAGGTCCTGTGATGCCTGCCTGTAATCCCAGTTACTAGGGAGGCTGGGCCTGGAGAATTGCTTGAACCCAGGAGGCAGAGGTTGCAGTGAGCCAAATCATGCCACTGCACTCCAGCCTAGGTGACAGAGTGAGACTCTGTCTCAAAAAAAAAAAAAAATTGATTACACAAGAAATAATTCATTCTCATTATTTTAAAAAAAATGAAACGCTACAGATAAAGTTAAATTCTCCTTTGATAAGCAAGTCTAATCCTTTACCCTCCCCCCAAAATGAATAGCTCTTCATTCTTCCAGGCTGTTTCCTTATAGAAATATGTATTTTTTGTTTTTATGTATGGATTTTGTGTTTTTTATTTTTATTTTATCATACTGTATTTTATTTCATATCTTGCTTTTTTCATACTTGAGAGCCTTCCATGCCAGTCCATATAGGTATGTCTTATTCTTTTTTTGTTTCTTTTGAGACAGAGTCTCTTGCTGTCACCCAGGCTGGAGTGCAGTGGCATGATCTCGGCTCACCGCAACCTCCACTTCCCAGGTTCAAGCAATTCTCCTACCTCAGCCTCCTGAGTAGCTGGGACTACAGGTGTGTACCACCACTCCTGGCTAGTTTTTGTATTTTTAGTAGAGACAGGGTTTCACCGTGTTGGCCAGGCTGGTTGTGAACTCCTGACCTCGTGATTCGCCCACCTCAGCCTCCCAAAGTGCTGGGATTACAGGTGTGAGCCACCACTGTGCCCGACCTTTTTTTTTTTTTTTTTTTTTTTTGAGATGAAGTTTCACCCTTGTTGCCCAGGCTGGAATGCAGGTGGCATAATCTCGGCTCACTGCAATCTCCGCCTCCTGGGTTCAAGCAATTCTCCTGCCTCAGCTGCCTGAGTAGCTGGAATTACAGGTGCCCACCACCACACCTGGATAAGTTTTGTATTTTTAGTAGAGATGGGGTTTCACCATGTTGGCCAGGCTGGTCTTGAACTGCTGACCTCAGGTGATCCGCCCGCCTTGGCCTCCCAAATTGCTGGGATTACAGGCATGAGTCACCGTGCCTGGTCAGGTATGCCTTATTCTTTTAAATTGTAGCATAGTATGCCATATAGCATGGATAGACTCTAGTTTACTTAGCATTCTCTTATTGATGGGTATTTAGGTTGCTTCCACTTTCTCATTTTGCAACCAACGCAGAGATAAATATCCCTGTACATATCTCTTTGTGCATAAGTCTGAACATTTCTCCATATTAAACACTGAGAAGTAGGATAGCTGGGTCGTAGCTTAGATCTATTTTAATTTTACAAGTACTGCCAAGTTGCTGCAGAAGTGCCTATAACAGTTTATTCTCCCTCTGGCAGTGAATGAGGCTACCCATTGCCTGTACCTTGATGTGTGTGTGGATATATGCATATCTGTGGACTATGGATTCTTATTTGCATAATTGCTAAGAAAATTTAATATCTTTTTTTTTTTTTTTTTGAGATGCAGTCTCGCTCTGTCACCCAGGCTGGAGTGCAGTGGCATGATCTCGGCTCACTGCAACCTCCACCTCCAGGGTTCAAGCAATTCTCCTGCCTCAGCCTCCTGAGTAGCTGGGATTACAGGCATGCTCTACCATGCCCGGCTAATTTTTGTATTTTTAGTAGAGATGGGGTTTCACCATGTTGGCCAAGCTAGTCTCAAACTACTGACCACAAGTGATCTGCCTGCCTTAGCCTCCCAAAGTGCTGGGATTACAGTCGTGAGCCACTGCACCTGGTCTGAACATCTATTTATAGAATTACATTTTCATACTGTTTGTCCCTTTTTTTTCTATGTAGTGTTTGCCTTTTTTCACCTTTAGTAGTCTTTCTATGTATTTTATGATAAATATCTATACAAATATCTGTATCCACATATACCTACATATAAAATATTTCCTACCTACTCATTACTTTATGGTTTTTCCTTTCTGTGTTTAAGGCTTTCTCTAACTCCAAGATCACAAACATAGGATCTTAGTGTGAGGTAGGAATTTTATTTTATTTTCCAAATGACTAGACAATTATCTTGATGCTATTTATTGAATACTTCATCTTTTCTCTACTGTTTTGAAAATACTTTTTTAAAAACAGTAAATTCCCATATAAATGGCAAATCTTAAACTTACATAGAAGTGGATCTGAAACCTAGAGAAGGAGGAAGTTCATGAGAAGAGAATTGGAATTGGCACTCCCTGAACTGTCAACCCATGGGAATTTCCAGCACAGGAAAGCAGGGGACTTTCCAAAGCGGCCACTATACTTTTTAGCATCAGGCAAATAAACTGGCAGCTAAATACTCCATGCCCCAATAACGTTAAATAATTTAACAATTGTTTATGTCATTTTGACTTTTTCTTTCCAAAACCTGTAAAACAATGTTACCCACTGTGGCACGGCAAATTAAGGTGAAATTACACAAAGTGAGAATCAGCTATGTGTCAAGTATAGGCCTGTACCAAGGAAGCAGGGCTGCTACAAATGTAATTATAGGATCCTAGACCCACCGGGTGTGGTGGCTCACACCTGTAATCACAGTACTTGAATCACTTGAACCCAGGAGGCAGAGTTTGTGGTGAGTCCAGAATGTGCCACTGCACTCCAGCATGGACAACAGAACAAGACTGTCTCAAAATATATATATATATTTATTTATATATATTTTTATATATTTATTTATATATATTTATATATATATATATGAGTGGCACGATCAGACTGTTGTTTGAGAAAGATAATGGTGGCAGCATTTTGGAGGTAAATGACAGAGAAGTAAATTGAATGACAGGGAGACCTGCTGTCAGGTTATTATAAAGATGCTGACAAGACACGATGGAAGCCAGAACTAAAGCCCTGGGGAGGGCATAGAGAGGAGGGTCAGACTGCAGAGACACAGAGAGGCTGAGTCTACTGGATCTTGCTGACACTCTCAGCTTGGGCAATGAGGGAAGTCAAGAGGGAAGCGTTAAGAATGACTCAAGTTTCTGGCAAGGGCAACTGGGTGTCTGTAACGAAGAAGAGAAATAGACATTTCATGTATTAGGCTGTAAGAGAAGCCCTCTGTTTTGACTGATGATGTAAATGAGGACTTTCCACCTTCTGAAAAACTGAACTCTTCTGATGCAATGAGACAACGCCTACATCGTAGTCAGCCATGGTTCCCTCTGGTTCAACAACTCAGTCCCGATGCCCTGATGGGATTCTATTCCCCAACCTAATGGATCCGAAAACAGTGTTGGCAACAGACTAAACTGCCCACCAACTGTGACGTATTCACAGCCTGCATAAGCTTGCTCTGTGAATGAAGAAGACACTCTAAGAGGATTCCAAAAGAAAATAAAGCCTTTTCTGTCTTCCCAAGGAGGTTTTAGGCTAAGGAAACAACATAAACACCACACGAAAGAGTGGGCAAATGTACAAGAGAGTTTAAGGTTAACTGCTAAATTATGAAGTAAATTCCAGTCAGAGGAAAGTGATGGTATTGTTACTCTAGAACAGCCAGGAAAGATAATCATTTGCGTTGACCATCTACTGCCAAACCACCATCTGTAAGTCACACAGTTGCTAGTGGCAGAGCCAGTGCGTGAAGTTGGGAGAGACTGTCTCAGATCTTCAGGAAGGCGTAATGTGAGCTGAGACAGGAAGGTGCCTGGTGTCCAGCCTGGATGGGCTGGGAGTGCAGCTGGGAGCTTGGAGCATCCTGGGAGGAAAAGCAGAGCGACAGGACTGGCACGTGATGTTAAACGTCCCAGAATGGAGGCCTTCTGACTGGAGACTTGCAGTGTACGTACCACTGCTGCGTGTTTTCAGCATTTCAGTTTGGCAATAAACATAAAAAGTCTAGTAACATAGGCGTAAGCCTGAAATGTTCAGTGACTGATCACTGTCAGGAATCATTATTACAAAAGAGCAGCTACAAAAACATGACTCAGCACGCCCCACCTCAGAACACTCCGGACCCACCTAAGGGCTTTCCAAAGTCCGCAGAATCCAGGCCAGCTGAGCATTCACACCGCCGCTCTGTTCAAGTCACACTCCAGATCCGTGGTGTTATTGGTGAGAGCGATGACTAACTAGCAGGATGATTTACATGCATGCGAGTTCCAACTTGGCCTTTTTCCTGTCAGCACAATTTACTACTATCTTCTAGCTGTCTTCCTACGTCAGGACTAAAAATGGTTACACTCCTAGCAGTAAAGCATTTCTAGCCAACTGACAAGCAAAGAAAGATTAAGGACAAGTACACAGACAACATGGGGTGGACTTTATCAGAAAGGACAAGGGCAGATACAGTGCTGGCCAAGGAGTGTCGCAAGTAAGGAATTTCCTGGAGCCTTATGCAAACTCCAGTAATCCCAGGCAATGATGCAGTTTCACTTCTGTTTCACATTAACGAGTCCTGGAAACACATAATGAGTGACCTATTTCTTTTCCAGTGGCTTTTCCTTTCATTAGAGCTATGCTCTGGTGGGTTACTTAATTATTTTAAAAAATCAACACTGAGCACTACTTTAAGCGAGACCTTGACTTTAAATTTCAAATATGTCATTATAATATTTAACAAATATAAATTCCATTTTTTAAACAGTGTTTGTGGTTTTTTTTTTTTTACATTCCGTGAAATTAATCCGTTTGAAGTGCACAATTCAATAATTTTAAGTACATTTACAGAGTTGCACAATCATCACCACAATAAGAATTCATTTTTGAGCTTTTTATTTCAGTTTTTCAATAGATGATAATTTCAAGAGCGAATGATAAGCCACAAAAAGTCTGTAATTGGGGGTGAAGCAAGATGGCAGAATAAAAGTCCCCACCAATCATCCCCTGCCGCAGGAACACCAGATTTAAGAACGATCTGCATTAAAAAATTACCATCATAAGAACCAAAAATCAGGTGAGCACTCACAGTACCTGGCTTTAACTTCATCTCACTGAAAGAGGCACTGAAGAGGGTATAAAAGACAGTCCTGAATTGCCAACACCACCCACCCCTCATCCCCTCCTGCACCCCCACAGCAGCTGTTGCGTGGCACAGATAAATGTGTGCTTGGGAGACAGAAAGCAAAGCACTGTGAGATTTTGCATTGAACTCAGTGCTGCTCTGTCACAACAGAAAGAAAAACCAGACTGAACTCAGCTGACTCTCATCCACAGAGGGAGCATTCAGACCAGCCCTAGCCAGAGGGGAAATCGCCCGTCCCAGTGGTTGGAACTTGAGTTCTGGTAAGCCTCACACTACAGGCTGAAGTGCACTGGGGCCCTAAATCAACTTGAATGGCAGTCTAGGCCGCAAGGACTTCAAGTCCTAGTGCTGTGGGCTCGGAACCAGTGGACTTGGAGAGCACATGCCCCAGTGAGACATCAGCCAGGGCAGCAAAAGGAGTGCTTATGCCACCCCTCCCACAACCACAGGCAGTGCAGCTCACAGCTCCAGAAGAGAACTTTTCCTTCTGCTTGACAAGAGGAGAGGGAAGAAAAAGGATGACTTTGTCTTTCATCATGGATACCAGCTCAGCCACAGTAAGATAGGGCACTGGTCAGAGTCATGAGGCCCCATTTCAAGCCCTAGTTACCAGACAACATGTCTAGACACACTCTGGGACCGAAGGGAAACTACCTTGCCTTGAAGGGAAAGACCCAGTCCTGGCAGGATCCATCACCCACTGACTAAAGAGCCCTTGGGCTCTGGTCAGAAATTTCTTCTACCAGACACCCTAAATCATCTTTCTCAAGTTCAAATTTCTACAGATCTCTTGGACAGGGGTAAAATGCCAGCAGTCTCTTTGCTAAAGCATAACAAGAGTCACCTTTGCTCCAGCACCCAACAAGTTTCTCATCTCCATCTGAGACCACCTCAGCCTGGACTTTATTGTCAATATCACTATCAGCATTATGGTCAAAGCCATTCAACAAATCTCTAGGAAGTTCCAAACTTTCCTGCATTTTTCTATCTTCTTCTGAGACCTCCAAACTGTTTCAACCTCTGCCTGTTACCCAGTCCCAAAGCTGCTTCCACATTTTTAAGTATCTTTACAGTGGCACCCCACTCCTGGTACCAGTTTACTATATTAGTCTGTTCTCATGTAGCTAATAAAAACATACCCAAGACTGGGTAATTTATGAAGAAAAAGAGGTTTAATGGACTCACAGTTCTATAGGGCTGGGGAGGCCTCAGGAAAATTACAATCATGGTGGAAGGGGAGGCAAACATGTCCTTCTTCACATGGTGGCAACAAGGAGAAGTACAAAGCAAAGGGGGAGAAAAGCCCCTTATAAAGCCATCAGATCTTATGAGAACTCACTCACTATCATAAGAACAACATGGAGGTCCCCATAATTACCCCCCACCAGGTTCCTCCCACAACATGTGGGGATTATGGGGACTAAGCCAAACTATATGGGTGAGGACACAGTCAAACCATATCACACCTGCTCCTCTTTAAACGTGGCTGGAGGAAAACAATTAACTACATGAAGTGGCTCACGTTAAATTATGACCACGATCCTTAGGTGTGCCCTTAGTGCTGCCTGACAATCCTGCATTTCCCCAAATCGTTCACTTTTTTGCACCTTCTCTTCTCACCTTAAATCTTACACAGTTGATGACCTTACCTCCCATTTCCCTAAGAAGAGGATACAACCAGAAAAATAGTCTTCTACATGCTCCCATTAACACATTTGCCATTTTCTCTGTCTTCCCATGAGTGTTGTCATGCATAAAGTAAGCTCCTATCCCAGGTTGTTGTCTCCACTTGTGTACTAAATCCAATATTCTGTCACCTACTCAAAGGTGTTACCTCAGAAATTATCCCTCTGTCCTGCACAGTCAAATTTTACTCTCTACTAAATTATTTCAATCAGCCTATCAACATGCTCTAAAATAACCTCATCTTAACACATGATGTCGTCTGTCAACCTCATGTGTCCCTTCTGCCTCCCACCTTATCTTTCTGTCACTCTTTACACAAAACTTGAAAGCATTGCCTATACGTGCTGTCTCCAATTCTTTTTCTTCCATTCTCTGTTGAACCTACTCCAATCGTATATTTAGATGCCTGAGTGACATCACCAATGTATATTTATTAGGCATGTTAAATGTAGATGTCTAAAAGAAAATGCCTGATTCCCCACCTCTGAAATCTTGTTCTGTGAAAGGGCCATATATGCAAAGCTGCCTCAAGTGCCTAAGGAGCCAAGAAACCCAAAAACAAGGCAGATGTAGGTCAGTATAGGGTGTTTTACTGGAGGAACTTAGAGATAGAGGCATGGTCTTGGAAAGCCGCAAGACAGGTAGATCTCTGCATTGTTACTCCCCAGACCAGGGCTTATGTACCATAGGGAAAGGGTATACATGCTCCCTCCAGCAAGACAATGAAAGGCAATCCTCCAGAACAGGCAAGAGTGCTATATGCACCATAGCCTCTAATGTGTGCGATAACATCAAGGTTGCCTTGTTTTTACACTTGGGACAGTAAATGAAGTAGAAACCAGGAGGCATTCACAGGACCAGGGCTAATCAGAAGTCAACATGGCAGATTAACCTCCAAAATGGAGTCACTTTTGTCTCCACACTCCTGTAGTCTTCCTCATCTTAGTAAATGGCAACTACATCTTACCAGTACCCCAGTCAAGAACTGGTTTTATCCTTGACTCCTCCCTTTCTCTCATTTTTTATATTCAATCCATTGATAGAGTCTGTTAACTCAATACAGAATAAATCCTGAATTTCACCACTTCTTAACACCGTTATCATTACCACTGGGGACCACGATTTCATCACCTTCCACCTGCATTACTGCATCAACCTGCCAACTGGTCTCTTTGCTCCCACCCTTGCCCCTCTATAATCTCATTTTAACACGGTAACCAGAGGAGTTCTTTTTATTTATTTATTTAATGTTTTTCCAGATGTACAGTCTCAGTCTGTCACCCAGGCTGGAGTGCAGTGGTGCAATCTCAGTCACTGCAGTCTTGAACTCCTGGGCTCAAGCGATCCTCCCATCACAGCCTCCTCCATAGGTATGAATACAGGGGTGCATGAAACCGTACCTGGCTTTCTTTTTTTTTTTTTTTTGAAGAGACCAACGAGGTCTCCCTATGTTGCCCAGGTTGGTCTCGAACTCCTGGCCTCAAGCAATCCTCCTGCCTCAGCCTCCCAAAGCTCTGGAATTACAGACGTGAACCACCACCATGACTAGCCAGAATAGTTCTTTTTAAATGTAAGCATATCATGCCCTTCCTCTGCTTAAAACACTCCAACACTCCAATAGTTTCCTATCTCAAAGAAAAATTTTGCATCAAAGTCATTACATAAACTACAAGCCCTACACACTCTCGTCCCTTCTTACCTCTGTGTCACCATCTTCTTCTTTTATTTTTTTTCTTTTTTGAGATGAAGTCTGGTTCTGTTGCCCAGGCTGGAGTGCACTGGTGCAATCTCAGCTCACTGCAACCTCCGCCTCAATTTTCCTGTCTCAGCCTCCCCAGTAGCTGGGACTGCAGGCATGCACCACCACACCTGCATAATTTTTGTATTTTTAGTAGAGATGAGGTTTCGCCATGTTGGCCAGGCTGGTCTTGAACTGCCGACCTCAGGTGATCCGCCCACCTTGGCCTCCTAATGTGCTGGGATTACAGGCATGAGCCACTGTGCCCGGCCTTGGGTCACCATCTTCTGATTCTCCCTCTTATATATTCTGTTCAGCCACACTGGTTTCCTTGCTGCTCTTCCAACAAGTCATACACACTCCTGCCTTAGGTTCTTTGTACTTGCCCTTCCTTTTGTTTGAACCATTCTTTCTCCCATATATTCTTATGACCTCCCCCCTCCCTTTGTTGAGGTCTCAAACCTTGCCTTATGAGTGAGACTTGACCACTCTATTCAAAAGAGCAAAATCCAAAACCTGTGTCCTCGCATTTCCAATCTGCCTTGCCCTGCTTTATTTTTCTCTATAGAACTTATCACCATCAGGGCCTGGCACGGTGGCTCATGCCTGTAATCCCAGCACTTTGGAAGGCCAGGGCAGGTGGATCACCTGAGCTCAGGAGTTTGAGACCAGCCTGGGCAACATGGCAAAACTCAGTCTCTACAAAAAGTACAAAAAATTCACCGGGTGTGGTGGCATGTGCCCGTAGTCCCAGCTACTTGGGAGGCTAAGGCAGAAGGATTACCTGAGCCCAGGGAGGTTGATGCTACAGTGAGCCATCCATGATCATGCCACTACACTCCAGCCTGAGTGACAGACTGAGGCCCTGTCTCAACAAAAAAAAAGAAAGAAAAAAGAGCTTACCACCATCGGGTGTGCTACGTGTTTGTATATTTTTGTGGCATCTCATGAAACATAAACTCTATCAAGGCAGGAACTTTGTTTTATTCATTGCCGTATTTCCAGAGCCTAGAACAGTGCCTGGCATACTACGAGTCCTGTTTTATAATA